AAGTGATCTTTTTACTTGTAAAAATTGCACACCAATATTTAAACAAGTGAAAGGTAAGTTTTTTGTGTGTGGTTCTTATAATACCTAGATCTAGATCTACATATAAATAAATTACTAATTTTTTGTTGAGGGTGTAATCTTGATTTTCATTACATTTTCTACGTACAATCACAAACTGATAAATCCATGAAAGGGGAAGTCAACCATGGCATGTCAGCCAGACTGATAAATATTGTACAAATAATAGGGCAGCAATTAATGTATAAAGATGTGATTGAACAAACTGTTATGAGCATATGTGTATGATGTAAGCTGTTTGTTATATACCAGTTGAGGTATATCTTTCCTTTTTACTCATGACAGGGGAATGTTCATTGATTCTGTGTACAGCAGTGTTTGGTTCAAGAGCAGGGTATCCGAGATCAAGATTAGACTCCATAGTCAATCTTGCAAATGTCTAAAACTTTCAATGTGGTTGGTAACAATGTGTGGGACCAAATGCATGTAAATTACTATTGTAATTACTGATAAAAATGTACTTATGTTCTGTTGAACACATTAGATACAATGACAAATATTGTTCTGGAAAATAGATGTGCTCTCTTCATCACAATTATGTATCTCTGTTTTAAATCGTAGGTTGCAAAATAAAGAGCTATGGCTTCTTCATGTACTGCTAGTTCATGACATATGGACTTTTATTGTCCATCTCTTCAAGTTGAAAAGGTAAGCAGTATCAATTACCATGATTGGTCTTATCAGCATGTTCTGTGCCTGCCATTGTTGTCATACCTCTACAGCAGTCATTAAAAAAGAAAAGACATTTGTCATAATCCCTGTGAGAAGTCTAAAACCCATCTTAACCATTCTGTTGTATAAAACGTACACAAAAGGTTATGAAAGGATTTTTCTTCTCCAAAGTAAACAATCATTTATTGTCTATAACTAAAATTACTTTTGTCTCAAATTTTTTGAAGAAAATTTTGTATTGTACTTTATTTATTTAGCATTTAAAGTATTTGAAATAATCATGAATACAAAAGTTGAAGATGGGTTGAAAAATTGCACTAGTATTTACTAATTGATTCATTTATTACATAACTTTAAATTCTGATTCTAGACTGCAGAGCCTGATTTACCTGCAACATTATGCTTCCTATGAAACATCAGCCAGCCTACAGATAGAAGCTCCCTGTTCCAGCTTTAAGCAAGAGGGACCACAATGAGATACCTATCTTGGTATCATGGACTGGTCTCTGTTACAACCAACACTACTTGTAAAATAAGATTTACAAATTTATTACTAAGCTATTAAAAATGCTCTAGTCAATGTACTAACATTTTGCCGTTGAGTATGAGGTTTTGGGTTTAATAAAATGTTAACATAAAATATTTTAAAGGAAGTAAACGTTTTAATGATACTTCCAAGATTTCCTATATTTTAAACAGAATTTGAGAATCTTGCAGAAGAAAAGAAAAGAAATAAAAAGCTATTATTCTGTCATGGAGGTTATTGTTACCAAACTCCCATTACATAGATAATTCTGTTCATGGCAATAAATCTTAAAATATCAATTTGGAATTTTTAAATTAGCAATTCATCTGAGCAGCAGTTTGCTGACCTATTTGGAACTCTTCCTAGAGGCACTTCTTGCATGACTATGTATCGATAATTACCTGTTGGTGCTTAAAGTGCTATTGTAGCAATTGCACAATAACAAATACAAAATAAACAACAGAACATTGTGATTGAGTGAAAACAGATTTGTCCTGCAGGAAATATATTAACTCTGACTTATGTTGTCCTTAAAAAAAAAAATTCAAAGCTGATATAAAAGAATTGATGATTAATTTCATATAGACAAACTTTTGTATCAAGAAAATCACATTCTCACCGACTGCGTGACCTAGATGACAATGTATATCATCCATAGATTAACAAACATGAGTAACAGAAATATTTGTGACAAGTATTACTCTTTTAATCTCCTTAAAAAAACTCGAATAGAGAGTGGCAGATATCAGCTGCAGTAGTTTTAACAACTGGCTGATACTTTCATAGTAGCAATTTCATTTGTGTCATTTAAAATGTTCTAATTGTATCCCTTAAATGTATTTGCTATGCTCATCATTAACAAAATGTAGATTTCATTCATTAAAGCATAAGCATATTGATAAGACATTAAAATCTGTGTTAATTTTTATTTTGTATGTATTTTGTTGTCTTTTAAGAAGATAAAAGGGGGGGGGAACGAATAGATGAGAATGTACGCTAGCGCATGATGATAATTATTACATGATGATAAAGGGCAATGATGTGATTCAATAATGATGTGTTTGTTTGCTGGCGAGTATTCAAATATCCTAGTAATGCTCTTGTTTTAAGTTAGTGTTTATTTATTCATTTTTGTTCTATATTTATTTTTTGTGTGGGAAGGGGGGGGTGTTCATGAAGAAACAAAATAACTTTGAAAGGGGCGGCAAGCAAAGAGCCGTGATGGGAGTGTCGTTTATGTTAATGAGAGAGAGAGAGAGAGAGATAGAATATGAACGGAATAAGGACACATAATTGTAAGCACATATGATTAAAAAAATATTTAAAAAGGGGCACATAACAAAATGAAAACGGGTCACTTCTCAGAAAAAAACGTAAGAAGTCATGAGAAATAACAAGATGAACTTTAAAACAAAGTGAAACGGGACAAACTACATGGAGGGATGTTAATCAGATGTAAAAGGGGCACTTTAACCTTATCTAGCATGTGTTATTTTGAAACTGCATAGCCTGGGGGGCGCTTCTAAGCAGTGGCAGATCCAGGGGGGCCAGGGCCCCCTCACCTTGAACACGTTAAGAACATGTTAACTGTACCTTTTTTTTGGGGGGGGGAGATGGGCCCCCTCACCTGGCGCTCAAGGGGGGGGTGCGATTATTTTTAAATTTTCAAGGCCCCCCCTTAAAAAAAAAATTAGTGCTCCCCCCCCCCCCCCCATAATTGTAAGCACATATGATTAAAAAAATATTTAAAAAGGGGCACATAACAAAATGAAAACGGGTCACTTCTCAGAAAAAAACGTAAGAAGTCATGAGAAATAACAAGATGAACTTTAAAACAAAGTGAAACGGGACAAACTACATGGAGGGATGTTAATCAGATGTAAAAGGGGCACTTTAACCTTATCTAGCATGTGTTATTTTGAAACTGCATAGCCTGGGGGCGCTTCTAAGCAGTGCCCCCCCCCCCCCCACTGAGCGAATTATCGGCCGGCTGTTTCGCTGCTAAATATTGTCTCACGAATTGGGCCCCTCCCATGCCGCCGGCTGGATAAGGCCCCCCCCCCCCCCCCCAGGTTAGATAGGGTTAAGGAGAAAACGGGCCGCTCATGTATTTTTGAAGAAAATATGGGCCATTGTGCTCCCCCCCCCCCCCCCCCCACCAGAGTGCCACATTTGGTATTGATCATGCCTAACTATGATGATTTTTTTTTTTAATGGTTATGGACAAAGATTTGTTCCGCCCAAAAAAATTGCCATTCATTTTGAACAGAATTCTTTATTTTCAGATGTATGTTCAAATTGAAAGTAGCCGACACTTACGCCTTTAAAACCATTGAATGCTGAACATAGCATATCAATAATGCAATGAATAAGGCTAAAATTGATTTAAAATTGATATGGATCACACTCTTACTTAAAATCGATTTTAAGGCCAAAATCGATTTTATTTATTTAGTGAAACTGCTGCTAAAATCGAAATCAATTTTAAGCCCTTACAATCGATCAAATCGATTTTAGATCGAGGCTTTAGTGAAACACCCCCCTGGTCCTATATTTACAAAAAAAGAGTTGAATGCCTCTGCTATGCCGAGAGGGTCTTTTATGTCGTTTCCGTTGGAGACGATCTTACTGAATTCTATTTTTTTTTCTTTTCATCTTTCCTGAGAACATTATTGATAATTTTCCAGGTTGACTTTATGTCTTTTTTATGAGTGGTGAATTGGGTTGAATAGTAATTCTTTTTTGCCCTACGTATTACAGATGTCAGGGAATTACGATAGGAAGAATATTTTAGCTTAGATGCATCTGTTCTTTTAGATTTGTATTTGTAAAAAAGGCTATTTTTCCGGTTAATGGATCTGAGTATACAGATTACACTTGTAGATCGAGGGGGATCTAGGTACCTTTTTATAACTCGACTTGGAAGGTGATTTCACTGGAATATAGATATCACATAAAGTCATAATTATATCAACTAGTTTGTTAAAAGCATCATTAGCATCATTAATGTCAAGAACCACAGACCAGTCAGTGAGTATCAGACTTGCTCTGAGTCTAGCTGTATTCTCTTCTGACATATGACGTGAACCCGCTTTGATATTCTGAATATCAGACTTGAATGTGTTAGAAATATGGGGGTACATGTAAACGGTGGGAAATGATCTGATATGTCAGAAACTATAATGCCTTGATCCATACAGTGGGAAATATTGGAGAACACATTATCAATAAGGGCTGATACGGTGTCAGAAGTTCGTGTTGGTTTCGTTATACTTGGAAAAAGTGATTTTGAAGTCATGATATCCAAGAAATCTCGACAGTGTGGTTTGTCATTTTAATTAAATAGGTTAAGATTAAAATCGCCCATTATCATACGACGGTGAGTTTAACATAGATTGTATGTCAAGACCGGAAGCAGTTCATCGATGCAATCTTTGAGCAGCCAAGTTGGAATAGGGTCCAGATTGCAAGATTTCGGTGGAGTAGGAGTAGACTTGATAAGACGATGAAGCTGAACTTCATTCACTGGCATAAACGCACTCAGGCTAGAATTCAACGAGTTCTCAGGAGGTTGGATAGGTGACTGCATATAAGTAATCAGTAAGCCCTGAATCAAAAAATAATATTAACATTTTATCCTACTTTCAACATCTCTTTTTTTACATAATGTAATTGTAAATATTCTGTATCTAATCATTTTTAATGAATGAGACTTGGTACTTACCATATCTGTACTTTGATCTTTTTACCATCTAATTCTATCGTCCTAAACTTGAAATCAATACCTGTAAGAAAGACAAAAATAAAAAATTAGATATTATTATTCATTTTTTTTTTCATGTCTTCTTTATAAAAAGCAGGGTGGTCCCATTCAAGCCGCAAGGCCTGCTTTACAAGGGAGCCCTGCTGTAACAAACAAATTACATTTCAAATATCTTACAATACACATACAAATACACAAAATATACGATAAATAAAAAAAAACATAATATAAACAAACTATGAAAAAATTTCATACAAATAGGAAATTAGATGAAAACGGAAGAGGAGCGAAATTAAACGAAAGGGAGAGAGAGAGAGAGAGGGGTGGTAGGAATACTTCATGTGAGCGATCGCAAAATCAACTCACTTGAATTTCACGGACATTTCGTTTAAAAATGGGTAGTGAGGCGGAACATTTGGTAAGTATGGGTAGTGAGTTGAATAACTTTGCTGCTGTGTACGAGAAGGTCTGTTTTTTTTAATCGGTCCTGGGTTTTGCAAGGTACAATTGATGCATTGAAACTGATCTCGTGGGATACGGGTTAGCACTTTGAGGTAGAGCTTGTATTGGATAAACAGGAGCAAGATTATTCAGGATTTTATACATAAGTACACTGTTGGTCATAATGGTGGAATAATTATTTTTACCCCAGTTTAGGGAAGGATTTTAAAAAATTATTTATTTTTAATAGATCTAGATAATGGCATACATTCTCAGATTTTATTGAATATTAATTTGCGAGTGTTTGTTTTGCGTGACTGCTAAATCATATGTGTGCTACTATGCTAATCAGCTAGGGAACCTACGTCCTTAAATCATAATTGACAGTAATGAGGATTAATGCCTCATAAAAGGGCACTAATATAGCTGATCGACACAATTTTTATCCTGGGGCCTCACAGTAACGAGGCTATTGCTTAGCCCTTGAATCATGATTGTACGCAGTGTTTGCTAGGGTACGCGGCCGCCCCCGCAAATCCCCCCAAACGAAGAAAATGCAATAAATTGTCAAAAATTTATTGCATATTCCCCCGGCCCCCAACAGGAAAAATTCCTCTGTGTGGCCATGCCTTGAACCATAATGCATAGCCCTACAGAGGAATTTTTCCTGATGGGGGCCGGGGGAGAATGCAATGAATTTTTGACAATTTATTGCATTTTCTTCGTTTTGGGGGATTTGTGGAAGGGGCCGCGTACCCTAGCAAACACTGCGTACAGTCATGATTCAGGGGCTAAGCAATGACCTCGTTACTGTGAGGCCCCAGGATAAAAATCGTGTCGATCAGCTATATATTAGTGCCCTTTTGTGAGGCATTAATCCTCATTACTGTCAATTATGACTTAAGGACGTAGGTCCCTTAGCTGATTAGCATAGTAGCACACATATGATTAAGCAGTCACGCAAAACAAACACTCGCAAATTTAAATTCAATAAAATATGAGAATGTATGCCATTATCTAGATCTATTAGAAATAAATTATTTTTTTAAATCATTCCCTAAACTGGGGTGAAAATAAATATTCCACCATTATGACCAACAGTGTACTTGATAATTGTATTCCAATCTGTGTTTGACGGATCGCAACCTTAAAGAATTTAACATAGATTGTACAGGCGTATAATAATCTGCATCTAATAATAAACGACAATATTTGTTTTGACATTTCTGTAGTCGCTTTAAATCTTTCATTTTTAGTGATCCCCAAACAGTTGAACAATAATCAGTGTGAGGAAGAATTAAAAAATAGTATAAATGAGTAAATAAACGTTTTTTCAAACAGTGCTTAATCCTCCGCATACATATAAGCGAGTTCATAATCCTTTTAACAACATCATTGATATGGGGAGACCAATCTAAGTTCTGATTTACAATAACACCCAGATATTTAATTTTTGTTACATTTTATATAAGTTTACCATCCATTTGTATTTGTAATTTGACTGGATTCTTCTTCCTTCGACTTGAAAATAACATAACTTAAGTTTTGTCTGTGTTAACAACTAGTCCACTTTCATTCATCCATTCACATAAAACTAGTATGTCGTTTTGTAACTGGGCTTGAACAGCTTGTACTCCATAACCAGAGGAAAAAATGGCAGTGTCATCTGCGTACAAAGAAATATTAGTACTTGAATGCAAGGCTAGATCGCATAGGTCATTAATGTACATACAAAATAGTAGCGGGCCCAAAATTGAGCCCCGAGGTACCCCAGAATGAACTGGAAGGAAATCACTTCTAATGCCCTTGTATGACACACATTGGTTTCTTCCCACTAGGTAAGACTCAAACTATGATAACTCTGTTCCACTGATGCCAAAATAACCATTTTTGTTTATAAGAAGATCATGGGGGATGATATCAAACACCTTTCTCAAGTCTAAGAAAACAGCACCGGTAAATCGCCCTTTGTCAAGGTTATCGTACAACAATTCACAAATCTCCGTAAAGCATGTTGAGGTGGAATGTTTACTCCTAAAACCGGACTGCCGATCGGACATTAATTCTTCGTTATGAAGATATTCCATCAATTGAGAGTGGACTGTCCAACACTTTGGAAACAGTGGACAAGAGGGAGATAGGACGAAAGTTACTTAGTTCGTGACTAGTCTTTGTTTTGGGAATAGGGACTATGGGCGTGTTCACACCGCAAGGGGGGACCGTGGGCGGACCGTGGATCGCGCTATTGTAGCGCGACCCACGGTCCGCCCACTGGCATTCGCCGGATCCACACCGCAGCGAGATAGCGCGGTCTATCGTAGCACCCCCTTTTTTAAGAGGTCCTGTTGTCATGACGCGTGACGTCATGAGGTCAGAGCGGTCAAAGATTTCGCGCGCTATTACGAACTAGGAGTGTTGAATAGGCCATTTTCGTAATGTAACCAAATTTAATGCATACGTCTTTGTGAAGTGCCTCAATACAAATTATTTCGTTCACCTGATAAGAATAATAGTATTTCAATAGACAGAATCCAAAATGCATACATTAGTTGTTGTCAGGTTGGACAAGCATTATGGCTTGACCTACCTATATAGCAACACTTAATACATGCAGTTGCATTCTGACTATTGAAATACTATCAGGTGAATGAAATAATTTGTATTGAGGCACCTCACAAACACTTATGCATTAAATTTGGTTACATTACGAAAATGGCCTATTGTACCGATTCAGATTCAGATCGCACCAAAATAGAATGAGTATAAAATTCCCCGCGTGTAGAATGATAAAATCCGGCGTGCTTTCGTAGCTCGGGTTCACACCGGCAGAGATAGCGGGGTCTAGCACGCGCTAGACCGCGCTCTCTCTCGTGGACCACCCCCAAGAGGTGCTCCAGTGTTGGCTCGCAGTGGCTCGCCGTGGCTCGCTGTTGGGCGGACCGAAACGACGTTGTACCTTCCACACCGCAGAGATAGCGCGGTCTAGCGCGCGCTAGACCGCGCTATCTCTGCCGGTGTGAACAGCCTCAAAGTTAGCCATCTTAAAGTCATTTGGGATACGCCCAGATTGTATTGATTGATTGAAAATACGAACAATAGGAATGGAAACAAATTGAGCACTAAGTTTCAACAATCTAAGGTGGGGGCCGTCAAGTCCCACAGATTTCGAACAATCAAGGTTATTTAATTCTTTTTTTTTCACAAATTCAGTGGTTATCTTTTTGAAAACGAAACGCGATTGTACTTTAGTCTTTTAATAGCATTAACACCATTATCTTTTATTTCATGAGAGCCTTCTTCTCCTTGAATCGATTGAAAGATATTGCTGAACATTGTATTAAACTCAATTGCAATTTTTAAGGGATCGGATACAATTTCGCCTTCAATTACTATGTGTGAACATTGATTAGCCTTGTTATCAGGCAACAACTCTTTTACAATATTCCAGGATTCTTTCATATCTTTGCTACTCTCTATTTTACTTCGATAATAAGCCTTTTTCAACTTTTTATTAAAGATATTAGCTTTGTTTCTCAATGAAGTATATGTCTTCCATAGAGCGGTAGTTTTATTTTCATTACTGATGTTATTACATTTAATTTTATAAAATTGACTTGCTAATTCTTTATAAGCCGAGGTTATCCATTTAACTTTTTTATGCACTGATACATAGGGTGCCTGTTTGTCAGAGAGTTTTAGAAAGACATCTCTAAACTTGTCCCACATAACATCAATTATCAGTAACATTTATAAACATTTCACTCCAATCAATATCTTCAATATCATTGAGAAATGCATTTTCATTGAAAAGTTTAAAAGACCGAAAGCGTGAAATTTGAGGCAACGAAATGGGTGTTTTTAGTTTTGTAACAACGTATACTAAGGAATGGTCGCTACACCCAATAGGCTGTACACCTAAGTGTAATTCTCCTAGTGCCTTTGATACAAAAATCAGATCAATCAGGCTTTTACTGAAAGGGGTCACACGAGTTGGCCTGTTAATGAGCTGCATTCAACACAGAGATTCACAAATTTAATGCATACGTCTTTGTGAAGTGCCTCAATACAAATTATTTCGTTCACCTGATAAGAATAATAGTATTTCAATAGACAGAATCCAAAATGCATACATTAGTTGTTGTCAGGTTGGACAAGCATTATGGCTTGACCTACCTATATAGCAACACTTAATACATGCAGTTGCATTCTGACTATTGAAATACTATCAGGTGAATGAAATAATTTGTATTGAGGCACCTCACAAACACTTATGCATTAAATTTGGTTACATTACGAAAATGGCCTATTGTACCGATTCAGATTCAGATCGCACCAAAATAGAATGAGTATAAAATTCCCCGCGTGTAGAATGATAAAATCCGGCGTGCTTTCGTAGCTCGGGTTCACACCGGCAGAGATAGCGGGGTCTAGCACGCGCTAGACCGCGCTCTCTCTCGTGGACCACCCCCAAGAGGTGCTCCAGTGTTGAGGGATCGGATACAATTTCGCCTTCAATTACTATGTGTGAACATTGATTAGCCTTGTTATCAGGCAACAACTCTTTTACAATATTCCAGGATT